ACTTTACACCAGGGCCGAAAAACTATTTCAAAAAATTATTTCTCTTTTAGTGGAAAGTCAATTTTAAAGTATGATTATACACATCATATTTTAAAATTGACTTTCTACTAATTCAAATTAAAGAGAAATAATTTTTTGTGTTTTTTTACTTAGTTAGCCCTGGTGTAAAGTCCTATTTTTCGAGACACGACAAGATCGCTTTCCGGCGTCGATATATAATATCAAGTGACGGGACGAACAAGTCGTGCGCCTGATGTTAAGTTACACGCCTGTCGATAACAATTGCGTCGATATATATAAAAAAAACCATGTATGAATGTGAACTTTATGTTTCTTTATGATACTAAGTTATGGAATGAACAAGTCGTGCGCCTGACGGTAAACGACACTCCTGTCCTTAGCAATCGCAGTGCCACTCAGAGCTTTAAATCACAAAGATCTGACTACCACTGCGCCCGTCACCGAGACATAAGTTGACAGGTCCCATGTAATTTCACCAGCACTCTTACCCTTCAAAACCGGAACACCGTAATGTTGACATTACTGCTTGGCGGTAGAAACAGGTGGCAGTACTTCCCTGGACGAACTGCTACTATAATCTATGGCGTACATATATTAGTTGGGATATTAACCTCCGATGCTCCATCATGGCTTTCCTGTCGGCCTCCCTCTTTTCGGCGGCTATGCGGGCCTTCTCGTTCTTGACCTGCGGCGCTGCACGTGGGCGCCGCTGCGGCGACGCCGCCAATGGCAGCACGGGCTTCGACACCGGTACCGGCTGAAAGGCGATCACGAATACATATTACAGGTATGCAGTTGCTAGTCTATTTATTTATTATATGGACAAAATAGATTACAATAAAATTACTCGCATCAAAAGTGTCAGGAATCAGTTTTTGCCAATTACAGAAAATCAGGCTTCTTAATTTTTTTTTACCACCAATGGATTTTTTTTTGGTCAACTTTAAAATTTCAAATAGCACTTGACGAAAAAATCCATTGGTATTAAGTATTATTGAATGTCAGGATGTATCACCACCATATTCAATTATTTCTTTGTGAAATTACTCTGTGTCTGTAGTTTGTTATAATTGGACGTAGTTAAACAAAAACCATCGAATGCACTTCCAGTCACTTTCGAGATATGGCAGTTTGAAGTTTAGTGTTTCTCACTCTTGTTTTATTTTCAAAACTTATAATGTCATGTAACTCCAGAGATATTTATTTATGTTTATATGTTGGATTTTTTTTTTGCTGATTTAAAGGTTAGACTCTAGCATTGACCTACCAACAAATGAACGTCGGGTCTAATATAAAAACCACGAACAAAAATGTCCGAAGTCAACCTATACAAACGTAGTGACATGTAACGAAATATAAAAACTAAAACATTTCATTTAAATTGTAATTTCATTGCAGTACTGCCTAATTGTGCTTGCAACAATTTAAGGGCCCCAAAAAAACACTATATTCAGGTTCTACTGGAAATTTAACAAAGTTCACCATATTCGACTGAAAATTACTTGAACACAAGAGTAATGGAGTAGCCTTTATTCTAAATATTAATTAATTTACATATATTTTTTATGTCGAATTTTGAACAAATTCACTTAAAGAAATAATAAACAGTTGGGCAGATACATACATACCAATATTACTACAAATATGAAAATAAGCGTGTACTATAAGAAATGTACCGATATTCCCACTAAACGTAAACTCAAATATCCGTAATTCCGAAAACCGATTTATAATAACACCGTTTCGCTTTCGAGTAATTTTGATGCTTTTCACAAAGACAAAATTAGCCTTTGTTTTGTAATCTTCCTAAAAAAATACATTTGCCATTATGAAAATTCAAGTTAACGTTATTTCGGGCAAATGTATTTTCTGACTTCTGATAGGTAATCTCAAGCCGTAAAACGAGTACAACAATATTTTGTTAGTTATAGCTAATGGTTAATAAAAAATCATTTTACAAATAAGATGAAAATTAAAGCGACTCTATAGTTTTTTTTGTTCTAAATATTTCAATATCTTGTGGTTCGAACAACTCAAAATGACCAAGACGTTTATATGAGCTTCTTGAAATTTACATAATGGGTCTCTTTCCAAATTTTGCGCATGCAATTTGTAGAAAAAGGACAGTTAGGTATTTGATTCTTTTGTGTGCTTTCGTAATTTATATTTACGATTCATTTATATATAAATTAAATACTATAAAACTGTACAAAATAACACTTTTAAATGAGAACTATGATACAAAATCCTGTTTTTACCTTTACTGTTGTATAATTTTTGCAACTCATTATTATATATATGATACCGCATGATTGACAACCGCGTTGACAGTCGAACAAACAAAGGCTGTTGCGCGATTGACGCTCTGTATACGATTTTATACGCCCCAAATGTGCGGACACTTTTTAGCGCGAACCCGACGTCCATTTATTAGCAGGTCAATGGACTTTAGGAACTGTTTGATACACAACTAATTTTTTGATAATTTTGTGGATTAGATCTTTTTTGATTAACTACGTCCAATTATTAAACTAAGACCGAACACTTAAAAAATATTCACTTCGATCCGGTTGGATTCGAACCAGCTTTTCACAGCAAACCGTGACAGACGCTATGTCAACTGGATGATTTTAGAATGGATGGATTTTTTCGATTATATTCACCTCCTGCCAATTATTGGCTTTTAAAGCGGCGATCTGTTCGTAGAGAGCGTCAACGTTCCGGACTTGCAGACAGACCATGTCCCAGAAGCCTTGCAGGTCTTCCAGAGTGGTCGGGAACGGTTCGTCGTGCCGCTCGTTCAAGTTGTTGTAACAGAGACCTGGAACATACAACTTCAATTTAAAAAACTTCTATGTAAAAGTTTTAAGGGTAACCTTTAATAAATTATTATAAATTAGTAAATTTATTTGTAAACAATGGGGTAAGTGCGTAATTATCGCATAAGTATTACATATTAATTCTTTTGTTACACGCCTGGTGGCTTGTGATGGTAGAGATACATAAATCTTTTAACCTTTTTTATTTGCTGATTTTTGTGTTTTTTTGCAAACTTTTTACTTGTGAATAAAACAATATAATATAAATAAACTACTTTATTTTTAATCGACTTCAAAGAAAGGAGGTTCATAATTTGACTGTATTTTTTTGTATATATGTTATGCGATAACTCCGGCTATTATGATGATTCTTTTCTGTTAGAAAGAGGGTACCTCAATAGTGGTCTCATTTTAATTTGAAGAAAATATTCCACCTCTAAGGGTGGAAAACTAGAGGATGAATCCGGTTTCGACAAATTTCAATAAAACTTTTCAAATAGATGTAATTCCATGAACTTTTGGGGTCGGTTTTTTTAGTACCCTGTGCTGATTATGAGACCAAATGACGGAATGAACTAAAACACTTCCACTGCTCCTAACACCTAGAGACATAAGTTGACAAGTCTCATGTGCCTGTAATTTTACCAGTACCCTTACTCCTCAAAACCGAAGGATGTAATGCTCACATTACAGCTTGGCGTCTGAAATAGGTAAGTGGTACTTCCCTTGACAAACTCATTCACAAGGAGCTCTACTGTTACTAAAAAGCGAAACAATACAGGTTTATAAAGATCGTGGTAAGTGGCGGTCAATGGTCTCTTCCCTACCAATATGTAAAGAAATAATGAGTGAAATTTCATGTGGTATGCAATTCATGACACTAAAAACTTGATCTATGAAGATTTTTCCACTTTCTACACAAAACGCGATCAGATTGGATATTTTTATGTTTTACTCGACTACGGCAGAGCCCAAACGGAGGGTAAGACTTTAATAGTTGCAATAATAAATAAAAAATAAATATATATAAGCAGTAGACCTCCTTGTGAAAGAGTTCGTCCAGGATAATACCTTACCTATTTCTGCTGCCAAGCAATAATGTTAGGCATTATTGCGTTCCGGTTTAGAAGGGTAATGGTGCTGGTGAAATTACTGGCACATGGGACTTGTCAACTTTATGTGTTAGGGTGAGGTAGGAGCTTTAAATCTTTGCGAATTAAAACTCTGAGTGGCACTGCAACTATTATGGACAGGCAAGAAGCTCTACTGCTGCTTGTCTCGGGTCTAGGTGTTTGTGGTACCGTCGTTGTTTCCGATTTCCATAACACAAGTGCTTTACTTTGGAATCAGAGCAACATATGTGGTGTTGTCTAATAATTTATTTATTTAGTTTACCTTCAAATTGCTGCATCTTCTGTGTAGCCAGAAGTCGCGCTTTCCCCGATGCTGAGCGGAGAAAGCCCAATACTTCATCACTCACTTCCTGATCCTGAAAATTGATATAAATAGATATTTTAAATAAAACGTTAAACACAAAAATATTGGTTTGAGTACTTATATACTATGCCAGTATATAAGTGTCAGGCGTGGACCCCCAAGGGAACAAAAAGAGAAATAAAAGGAAATTAGCTCTGTATAGCATTTTTCTGTAAACCAGTGTCTTTAGCATACCGGGCTTGACGCGCTCAGAGATCAGCCAGATAGAAATAATTTTTGTTAGTGTTCAATCTTTGTATTAATAATTATAAAAAACCAATGGATAAAACTAACAACTAAGTCCAACTTTTAACTAAGGTAAACAATTATTTTATGGGGAACTGCATTTTTATAATAAGACTCCGGAGCACATATTAAGATAGCCATTTCCTAAGTTTAAAACTTAGATTAAATTATTTTAATTGAAGTCAATACAAAATTGTTAATGTTACAAAAATACACTACGTGTCAGATAAAAATGTATGGAACGCAACATGAGTCTAGATTATACACAAATATGATTCAATATGTATTTATTTAGCATTTAAGTTTATTTCAAAGGAGCAATCCCTAGAGTTCCTTTCTTCTCAGAGAAGTTGGCACCGTGAACGAGCAGTAACTTAAAAAATGTCGTTTTCAAGTGTAAAAATTTGACCTATGGAATAAATGATTGACTGGTGACATATTGAACCCTATTTGTGAGTGACTGGTTAGTGAGACAGGCATAAAAATGCCCGTTTACAAGTCGCCAGGTCGAAGTTATGTGAAAACATGATAAAGAAAATGAAAAGAAACTAAACAATGACATTCAATGAAAAGTATGTCACTATAACAATACAACACATCAGTTGTTGTTGAAAATTAAAATAATAAATACGAAATGTTCTCTTTGTGTGAATCATAGTATAATTTTGAAAGCAGTAGAGCACCTTGTGAAAGAGTTCGTCCAGGGAATTACTGCCACTTAACCAAATTAGCCGCCAAGCAGTAATGTGAGCATTACTGCGTTCCGGTTTAGAAGGGTAAGGGTGCTGGTGAAGTTACAGGCACATGGGACTTGTCAACTTATGTCTCAGGATGATGGGCGCAATAGCAGTGCCTATCTATAGACATCCAAACCCAAATTCAAAGCACTGTACCAGTAACACCTACTCTCACTTCAAAAATCTGTGTATTGTGTTTTTATTCTTTAACGTAGTCTGTCTAGAATCGAATTTTCTTGTTGCTTTAATCTATTCACAATATGCGTATAATTATATTATACACTAAATACATTACACAACATTAAAACCTCTTTACAGTCACAACTTACTCCTACAGCTTTAATTATATTCACATTCGCTCATGCACTTACATGTCAAACAGGTTATTTTAGATGCACTATTTACACTTTACTATGTATATTATTATTGTCAATGTATAACTTTACTCATAGCCATTATATTTTTGCTTTCAAATAATTTAATCCCTCTCGTTGGTTCTGACTTAAAACCAGCGCCTTAGGAAACTTTGGCATATGCTTAGTCAGCGCCGTTTCACTGCTATGACAATCATGTTTTGTTTTTTCTATTATGCTTAATCTGTATTTGTGTTAAATCAGTGAATAAAGTGTTTATCTATCTATCTATAAGATTTTGGGATTTAAAGCTCTGAATGCCACTGCAACTGTTATGGATAGGCGAATCTTTTACCACCAGTCGCTTACCTTAGAACTAAGAACGATTCATATGGTAGGATTTTGTATGTTTGGTATTATGCTAAAAGTTTAGAGCAGTTAATAATAAGAGCTTTATTTATCTACATTAAATAATAATTTAGCCTTAAATAACATAATCTGAAGTTACACATGTATATAAAAAGGCAAGAGTCTCAGCTTGAGCTGTTTTTCAGACTTCACCTTTTTGGTGAAACGCTACATTTAATTCTGTAATATTAATAATATAATAATTCTGACGTGTCTCGACAAGCTCCAGTAAAATGACTAAAGTATACAATTTAAACTTAAAGCTATGATTACATTGTCATAATGGTACCAAATCCACATAAAATATTTCATTTCAAAATACATGAAGTTTCAAAATACATGATGAAGTTAGTGGCTTGCTTTCGAGTTACTATTCAACTGCCATTGCAATTTTTTTGGTATTCTGCTCTTTAACGATGAGTCGATGACGTAGTCTACTAATTATTTGACATAAAAAACATACATTTAATTCGAAGACTCATTTGCTGCTTAAACAAGATAAAAATTTAAATATCCATAGTTATTTCCTTGGTAGTTTTGGTAAAGCAATATCACTCGTTCGTGGTTGAATTAATGAAAGCCATAAGTGCCATTCCACTGACACTCTATTGAGGCTCAATCAGCGATGGAGCGAGTCGTGTTTTTTTTTTTCAACTCGATTATATACGGCCACTATATTTTCAAAGGAAAGAATCTGTAGCGAATTCTATTAGTGACGGCATTTAAAAATCACCAAGGTTTCTATTGAAAAGATTATACCATTGAAGGTTGTTGTCAAGTCCTTTACCGTTCAGGCTATTCGTTTGTGGAACGCTTTACCTTTGTCTATTCAACAAGCAAAATCATTGAATATTTAAAAAAATATGGTAAAAGAACACTACCTAACTTTAGTGTGACTTGAACTGCTTAGGTATTTTTATGTTTTAAAATTATGTTTTAGAAATTTTATTTTCCTAGGTGTAGGAATATATAGTAGTTTATGATATTCCTATACATATATGTATTGGTTTTATTATTTATAACTATTTATTTATCGTTTTTTTCTATCTATTGATTAGTAATTCTTCATACACCACTGTCTTTTTCTTGTGAGTTATATAATTACTTCCATCCAAAGGTTTCTAGCAGCAATGGCTTAAAGCGATAAGACCGGCCGGTGTATTACAGCTTATTTTTAATTTAATGGTATTGTATTTGTTTCCTTTTTTGGTGTACAGTAAAGAATTTTTGTATTTTTGTATAGAGGTCGTTTGAAGACCTGTACACAGAATAAAGGTCAAAACGCACTAGAACCGTGCGGCACGGGCGGCCTAACTGCACGCAATGGCTGTTCATAATCGCAGCGCGCAAACAAGTCTTAGTTTGACAATTTAGTCAATGGCAGGTGAATTAATCGGTAAGACCGATTTGGGGAACGAACTTTTTCTAAATCGGTTCTGGCCAGAGTGTCCTGGGTAGTGCTCTGGAGTGAAACTCGTTACTCTGGTACTCATAGTACACGGAACTAACACTCATCCACTGCTGGACATAAGCCTCCCCTAGAGCATTCCAACTCTCCAGGTCTTGTGCCGCCCGCATCCAGCCACTGCCGGCCACTTTGCTCAGGTCGTCCGTTCATCTTGCCGCAGGGCGTCACACACTACGTTTTCCTTGACGTGGTCGCCATTCCAGAACGAGTCTGCCCCGTCGGCGATCAACCCTCCTGCAGACATGCCCGGCACACTGCCAGTTAAGCGTACTGATTTTGCGAGCTATGTCGGTCACTTTAGTTCTCTGATGACCTTGTCAGGATTCGGCCGGCCTGAGAAACGCGCGCACGCTGAGTGACTTTGAATGCCTTATTTTTGTTGTAGGACTTTGTGAGATGGACGACCTGAAGATGTGGCTAAGCTTCCCAAATGCCGCCTTTTTAATTATTATTCGTTTCCAATTCACCGTTCTCTTGCAATCCGTGCATATTGCTGCATAGAATTTGGAAATGATGCCCCATCGTGTCGCGCTAATGCGGTTGGACCTTTAGTTTTAAGGTGGTGATGTAGAAATAAGGGGCCCTACTCTTGAAGCACTTGAACTAAGAATGTATGACAACACGTCATATCAAGTCAGCATAATGGGTGTCAGAAGAAGAGGTTTCGAGTTCAAATCTGTACTATAGAGATCGGAGTCGAATTTTTTTGATACAAGTAAAATGTTATTAGCTATCAGTGCTTCTAATGGCATTATACTTCTCCTGTAATTGGACGTAGTTAAACAAAAAGGATCCAATGCACATCCAGGCAATTTTGAGATGTGGCAGTTTGAAGTTTAAAAATGTTTCTCAGTCTTGTTTTATTTTCAAAACTTGTAATGTCATGTAACTCCAGAGATTTTTATTTATGTTTATATGTTGGATTTTTTTGCTGATCTAAGAGGTTAGACTTTAGGAACCGTTCGGTACATATAACTAATTTTTTCATAATTTTATGGATTGGATCCTTTTCCTTTCGCTTTACTATGTCCAATTTGCGGGGCAAACAACTCATTTCATTACACAAATCCAAGAGCATTAGCATCTTCCAGTGTATAATATTGCGGCTATACTACAATCGTCACCCAGCTTGCCTTGCTTGAAGATTATAGAAATTCTCCTTCCTATAGAAAGGCTTATGAAAGTGGAATAAAAACAACAATGAAACTTACCTGTAGATTCTCCAATTCCTTCTCCGCAGTGACAGCTAACGCGATAAGCCTTTCAGTCTCCTTCTTTTCCAAATCCAAGAAATAATGCGCATCTTTCACAGCTTCACCGTTATTCTTCTCCGTACCATTCACGCCGTTCACCGGTTCAATCACAACACTCGTATCATTCAATTTTATCACAGAGACACCGTTAGTTATTGATTCGTCACTTGAAATCTCTTGATCAGTCTTTTGATTCGGAATGTCTTCTTTTACAGGCGATTCTTCCATTGATTCATGTTTAATAGATTTCTTTGGTGATAAAATAGGTAATTGAGCTCGAAATTCAGGCCTTAAATGCCTTAATACAGGCAAAGAGACACTGGTATCCATCTCCCCATTTGGACTAGAGTACACGTTTTCGGAGTCCGAACTAGTACTGGATTTTTTTGGCGATGCAAACCGTTCGCTTTGACAATTTAATGATTTCTCCGTTAATATCTTGGTATCGTCTTCGCTTATGCTTTTCCTTTGACGATTCTGCATTAAAAATCCTTGTGCCAATGCTCCTGGACCGTATAACCTCTCAACCCTTTGCTGGATGAAGCTTTTCATTGGACTTGTCAATTTCTCTCCATTTTCCTTGGTTATCTCAACAAGTTTGGATACACCGTTGGAAGAAATAGTATACGATTCAGAGCTAAATCTTTGAGTTTGAGTGTCTTTACCATTCGCAAGCGTTTTTCTAAAGTTAGTCTCGGAGTATGATGACTTAAAAGTAAGTTCCTTTGCATTATCAACTTCATCTTTCTGATGAAGCATGGATGCTGCAAAGTTTTTACTTTCCGTAGAAATATATGGTCGACTTGTAGTAGTCATGCTTGGACCTAAAAATTCGTTTTTCAACTGTTTGTTTTCTTCGGCCATGTACACATGTATAGGTGCTAAATAGGGATCTGTGTGCGCCTTAGAAGGCGCTTTTGCTGTCAAATCTGTTCTTGTATCATGGGGTTGGAAGGTTGGTACAAGCAGTTTATTCGCGCTGACAGGAACGGGCACAAGTAAGGTGTTATTTTCACTTTTGTACTGATAAGTATGGGTTATAGGTCTTATCGGTGAAGCTTCGCGGCTCTTATTAATATCCTGCCTTAATTTGGAATCATATGTGGTTAAAGTATTGTATCCATTAACGGAACAGGCTAGATGCAGATAGCTTGGTTTCTTCTGAACGTTCTCCTCTTTTTTTTTCTGAGAAATTCTCGACCTATGACTACCAGTATCGAATGTCTTTGAAGGCGGTTTTAAAAGATTGTCAGACTTGATATCCTCAGTTTTTCTTTCTTCTTTAAAATGTTCAGATCTACGAGGTGTTGGTGTAGCGTCCTCAGGTGTCCTGATCGGTGTAACTACTGGAGTCCTGATAGGGGTGACCACTGGAGTTCTAACTGGTGTCACCGCAGGGGTGATACGGGGCGTTATTTCTGGGTATGGTTGGTTAGAAGCCCTCTCTTGGATTCTGGATGTAAACTCTCGAATTCGACTGGTAGTTGATGATGGTGTTAGGAGATTTAAACTACCCGATGTGGTATCTGGAAATAAGAGAAAAACAAATTTACTCAAATTTTTGGGGTAAAAGGAAGACGCGTTTCAACATAATATTTCAGTTTTCTTCGGTAAAGGTGGAACAAACATTAGCGAACAATCAAGATCAAGTTTCTGAAGTTTATTATCCGTCAAAGTGGAGAGACGTCTTTTAACAATGTGGTTTGTTTACTTTTACTAAGAGGAGCAAATACGTCGAAATAACGAAATCTCATTGGTTCATATCTATATGAACCAATATTGCAATACAATACTGTTACGTCTTTGTTTGCTCTAGCAAACAAAGACGTAGCAGTAGATGTATAGAATAGAATAGAATATATTCTATTCTATTCAGTAGATCTACCACTAATTAGTTCCTTTATTTACATAAAGAAGACAGGAGAACTATCCTAAATCAGAAAAACGGCGCAAAATTGGAGCGTTGTCCACTTGAAAGGTAGGTGACGTGCTCATGAAGAACGTTACTTTCACACATCTCTCTTAGCTTGATGGGTAATGGATAATAATGCGCCTCAATGAGTAAATGATAGTGTCTAATATACAGACTACTCATCGGTCTGATATCGTACTGGTTTCAGGGTCCAAAAGTTTTCATAAGCCGCAACAAACGTAAGACTACTTTGTTCAAAATCAAACTAATTACCTTACATATTGTTTGTATTTACAAAAATAGGTTATTTGCTGCTATGCAACGATTTACAAAACAAAACGTGCCGATTAACGAATGGCGAGAATGCTATCAATAAACATTTTAAAAGTGTGTGTTATATCTCAGATTAGTTTGATCGGTTGGATTAATGATGGTTGGGGCAAATGTAATCAGAGCTTGGTGGTTTTTTTAATTATACAGCAAATATCATACTTTCAAGGAAAAAATCGAAAAGAGGTGATGAGGGAAAGACTGTCAATCAGCTACAATAAACAGGTAGAAGGTGAATGTGGTGGTCATACAAAGAGTTTTAGAAGAACGCGTACAGAAAAAGTTAATGGAAGGCGTCACACCAACAAGAGGAACTCCTTGTAAAAGAATTCGTCCAGCGGGTGCATTGCAATGTGCCCCTCTGATCTTTGAGATTTAAAGCTCTGAGTGGCACCGCAACTGTTATATAGATAGGCGTATCGCTTACCACCTGGCGCACGAATTGTTCGTCCCGCCACTTGTTAATAATCAATATACGAGTAGCTCAAGTTAGTCCGATGGTCAATATAAACCAAAGCAAGAAAAAATGTTAATGGAAACTCACATTTCCAAACTGGTGTCTGTTGCTGGCGTGGACCAGCATTCTCTAGAGATTATCAAAGTGCGATGTAGATTAGGTAAGTAATTAGTCACTCGCCTGATACGTCAAATGATAAAATTTTGATGGACTCGTTATCGGTCTCTTTTTTTTAAATGTATAATTGCGCGTCTGACCTCCATCTCACCTGATGGAACGTGACGATAATGTCGACCATTGAGCATGCACCCTAAATAATGCCTATTCACTCTCGCCTAGAAAAGGCCCAAGTTATAACGACCAGGGAATAAGCCTGCAGGCAGCGAAGTCCACTCCATAGCCGTTCGCCATATAAATGTGGAAGCGAAGCAATTCATACGAATCCTTGGAATATCTACAACATACGGATGGAACCCGAGCCTACGTCTAGTCCCCCGGTGATGGAAAGGGAACGGCGGAATTAAATCGTCTAATTCTATCGCACACTCGCCGTGATATATTCTGTAGACTACTGAAGTTCCAAATGGTTATATTCGAAAAGCCGGGGCATAATCCGAGCAATTTCAAGATACCAGATCTACAAATGTACGCACTGTTGTATTATGTGATATCTTGCATCTATTCTATTCTATTTGCTTAATGGCGGCCACTAGGCTTGGGCCAGTGTCAGTTTCGATTAATGTTGTCAGTTAATATTGTTCAATAAGACATCGACAAAAAGAAAGCAAATGACACTTGAAATGTCGTCTTTTAAGTCGTTCGAAAGACATTTTCCACTGACAGTTACTGAGCTAGAAATCGATGAATTTGAATCGTGCAAATAACATGAAGATATATCGAGTTCGGTTTAAAATAAATTCAATAAAAAAAAGAAGCATGTCAAAAGTCCATGACTCAGCCTCTGAGGACTATGCTGATTACATAGCCCTCACTGTTATTCTGTCATGGCCCCTCATAATATGAAACACCACAATTCAAATAATAATATATATGTTACATGTTACGTACAAAACAAAAATTAAAATAACTGTAGACATTTAGGCACTGAATGACTAAAATTTGACATAAGCAACAATTGGACGAAGTAACTAATCAATTTGAATAATAAATAAATAACTCAAAAAACATAACATCAAACATACACATCAAATAATAGTAGACAATTAGGCACTAAGTAAATAAAATTAGATACAAGCAACAATTAGACAAAGAAAAAATCTATTTGAGTAATAAATAAGTCATTTAAATAGCATTCTGTTAAAATTTTGTTGCAATGACAGTTGAGTCTTAATACAGTGTCAGTGGAATAGTAGTGATGGCATTCACTCGGTCACTAAACAAGTATAATATCATAATATATAAGTCTGCAGTCTGCGGGCATGTCATAGATAAACCTACACATTCTATGAAGTTTGACAAACCCCAGGTCCTTGCAAAAGAAGTCCGTTATCTACCCAGGATGCTGCGAGAGGCCATTGAAATTAAAAAACATCCTAATTTCAACAGGGAAGATGGTTTCTCCGTACCACCAGTTTGGGATCCAGTATTTGCTCTGATGAAAAAATCCCAAACAGACATAAGACAGCAGTACTAATTATTATGTTTTAATTTATTCCAATTTCTATTATTAATTAAAAATAAATTGAACTTCATAAAAATTCATTCTATAAAATAATTTGTAAAACGTAATGTAGCGTAAATTGGAATGTTTTTCTTTGTAAAATTAAAAATAAGGTATTTAATTAATAACTTTTGTAACTATAGTGAGAAAAAAAAGGTGGTTGGCATTAATATTAGACATAACTGGTTGATGACTGTATCACCTCAGTCAACCGTGACCATGGGACCTGTAAAGGGCCCGAAACGTCGGTTTGTTTAAAAAAACAAATATACGCGATTTAAATCCGGAAAAATAGTTTCATTTCCTATGTGTAACAACCGCGAAAACCTAAGAACTCGATAAGTGTAATATCATTCACTAACGATCGATGTTGCATTTCGGAAACTACCATGGACATCACTATCTTAATTTTAGATATCATTACTCCACAAAGTCTGCGGATATTGTGGAGTACATACGGGTGAAAGCCAATGCTGCCCTGAGGGTCGAGCAGTTAGAGTCCCGCCACAATGTGAATTTGAATTCATTTGTGAGTACCAACTCAACGTCTGTCAACCTTCACGAAGGAGGACATTTGGTCGAAGGGTATCATATACCGACGTTTCCGAGGACGGTTACCGGACACCCACGTTGCGTCACACGTCGTGGTCCGTACGTGTAAATAAATAAATAGTGTTAGTGTTTTATTACGTATGTTAGTCTATAAGATACGTGTTTATGGGTCTTTGTAACCTGATCATATTTTTTTTTAAACTGCCTCAGTGGTCGAATGGTTACTATGTTGGTCTGCCACGCAGAGGTCCCGCGTTCTATTCCCGTGCAGGGGGAAATATTTGTATGGCCTACATTTATTTCTCTCGTGAGTTTGAGTGTAATTTGTGGTGGACTATGTGTGTGTCCTTGGCACCCGCGATACAGGGTTTCCATAGTGCGGGCCTATGCAGGCCAGTATACAGGCAGGTAACCGTTCGGCCACTGAGGCAGTATATTTATGTTATCAGTAGAAGTAATAAGCGCTAAAAAATGTTGACCATGGCGTTTGGGGAAGACGTAAACTTTTTTTTTAATAAAAATATGTACTTACGCGAATAAAATATAAGGAAATAATCGCACATTTTGCAAAATATTACAATTATATAACAAAACTACAATTGGCAAAGGCCTACACGACACAAAACACACGGATTTAAAATGTTATCATGATCGAATGGATTCTATCTTATCAGTTATTATGTAGTTGTTTTGTAAAGATGACTAGCGAAGTGTGACAGCTAGAGATCTCTTTCTACAATTAGAGGGCCCTTTACAGGTCCCATGGTCACGGTTGACTGAGGTGGTACAGTCATCACCAGTTATGTCTAATATTAATGCAAACACCCTATTTATTATATATTTATGGTTTACTTAATTAATTTAATTTAGATAATAGTCATAGATTACTCACAGATGGCGCTAGAGCTAAAAAGTCGTTGAAAATCAAATACAAAGATCCGACAAACCTAGACAAATTCCTGAGGTCCGCTGGTTTGCTACAAAGCGTCGGTTCGAATCCGGCCGGCTCGAAGGAATTTTTTCTAAGTCGACTTATCCGTAGAACAGAGTCCGATGTGATTATACAACGAAAATAGGATAAATACAAAATCTCCTTATTCAAAATAAGGCCTAGCTATAATAGGTGTTTTCATAATTTGATGTATTATTTTGTTTCGGAAATATAAAATCGATCCATGGTGGATCTGATTTCCACAGCTAAGAACAGAGAACGAAATGTATACGTGCTGAGAATAAGCAATCTTGCACATAGGTCTTTGTTCTACGGATGAGTCGAAGTGTTCGACATTTGTATTATTAATTATAGTGGAGTAATTTATCAAAAAATAAACAATTGAATATCATGATAATGAAGCAACCTGAAATTCAATAAAATATTTAAATATTAAGATATTCTTCATTTGCATAAATTAATACGTAATAAATAATCTCATTTCTCCTAATCTTTTAACTCACAAAAACTTGAATATTAAGCCAAATACCCGTCGCCGTATAACATTTGTATTGCATGTCTACTAAAATAATACTTCTTTTTATAATCTCTTGACGAGAATGTGCCTAACCTATGATTAATTAATAACATCTACTCTCGATC